AGGACCGCGCCAACCCCCACCTCTGATGCGTAAACCTCCACCACAAACTGCCGGGACGAATCAGGGGCAACAAGGATGGGAGCTGAAACGAAGCAGCTTCTGAGTTTGGAAAATGCAGCATCCGCTGCACTGGACCACCTGAAAGCAGTCTTGGTGGAGGTTAAGGCAGTTAAAGGGGCTGGCTGAAATTGTGAATAAAACGCCGGTAAAAATTGGCAAAGCCCAGAAACCTCTGCAGGGCCTTGTGGGAATCTGGGGTTGGCCAATTCACCACAGCCTGAACCTTGTCGGAATCCATGCGCACCCCCTCGGCCGAGACGATGTATCCCAAAAAAGGAACAGACTGCATGAAAAATGCATTTCTCCGCTTTGACAAAAAGCCCATTCTCCAACAACCTCTGAAGCACTCGCCTGACGTGCTGAACATGTTCCTGGAGAGAATGAGAAAAAATCAGTATGTCATCCAGGTAGACATAGATGAACTGATCTACCATGTCTCTCAGCACATCGTTGACGAGTGCTTGGAATACCGCGGGGGCGTTAGAAAGGCCGAAAGGAAGAACAAGATATTCAAAGTGCCCCCTGGGGGTATTAAAAGCGGTTTTCCATTCATCCCCCTCTCTTATGCGAACCAAATGATAAGCGTTACGGAGATCCAATTTCGTGAAAAATGACGCCCCCTGCAAACGCTCGAAAGCCGACGACATCAACGGTAGAGGATAAGTATTCTTCACCGTTATGTCGTTCAACCCTCGATAGTCAATACAGGGGCGAAGAGAGCCGTCCTTCTATTTCACGAAAAAGAAATCCGCACCTGCTGGAGAAGAGGGGCGGATGATCTTGGTTGTTAGAGAATCAGAAATATATTTCTCCATGGCCTCCCTCTCCGGGGTGGAAAGCGAATACAATTTGCCCTTAGGCGGAGACGTACCTGGTAATAAGTCTATAGCACAGTCATAGGGACGATGCGGAGGTAGAGTAGCAGCCCGAGACTTACTGAACACTCCCTTCAGGTTGAGGTACTCACATGGCACGTTAGACAGGTCAGCGCGATCCTCCTGAAACACATAACAAGACACAGGAGAACATGCGGACAACAAACAGGAAGCATGACAATATTCGCTCCAAGCCAAAATGGCAGCCTTTCCCCAGTTTATGTGAGGATTATGG